TCATGTAATCACCCCCTCTTCCTCTGTGGACACAACCAGTGCCGAGGAATTGGCCAAGCGTGACGAGGAAATTGACGAGGAGGTGAGCCGATTGCTTGATACCCTATTCCCCCAAAGTGTGTGCCGGCATCCCAAGGAATCGCTGCAATTTGCTGTGGCTGTGCCTTGTTTCTCATACGTACATGTGCGGTACCGACGCTGTTGGGTTTTGTAGGAAGAGCAGCTGATTCAGTACGGTCTTCAAACAAAGAAGAGCAAGACTTCAGGGTATGTGCACCTTGTACACTTACGCGTGTGTGTGTGTGCGTGTGTGTTTGGTCATCAACCACCAGCTTTGAGGACCTATCAGCAGTACACGCACACACGTGCACACATACGTACACACGCACACACGTGCACACATACGTACACACGCACACACGTGCATGCATACACCCACATCCTTTTCGCCGGCTCATAGCCATCGTTGAACTTTTCCCCTAATTATGAACCTGCAGCGGTGCGGACGATGATGCCATGAAAGGAATTGAAAAGGCATTCGCAGAAGAGACTGGCCGGCTCGACAGAGACAAGGAAATGTAAGCTGGAGGACATGTGTGTCTGTGTCTATGGGTGAGCATGTGAATGTGCACCGTTGCACATGTGTCTCGATCACACAAGCCACGTGTTGATGTATCAATCTTACCATCATCATCATCATCATCATCATCATCATCATCATCATCATCATCATCATCATCATCATCATCATCAACGCCACCAGGCTGCAGTACATCAAGGAGAAGCTGCAAGAGAGTGAAGGAAAAAAACCGACCGGCAAGCAGACGAGCAAATATGAGCAGATGATGGCGTCGCTGTACAAAGTCCCGGAACGGCTGCAGGTCCGCATGCGCTGTGTTGTGGCGTATTGTGTTTGTGAGTGTTGCATGTTGTGTTGCATGTTTTGTTGTGAACTGTGCTGTGGGTACATGTGGGTGCGAACAGTGTGTGTGTGTGTGTGTGTGTGTGTGTGTGTGTGTATGTGTGTGTGTGCGCGCGCACGCCTTGCGATGTATGCTCTTGTTGCCCCTCCCCCAGCCCCCATCCACTCAACAGTGCAACCGCGCCTGCAAACAACAGGAAGAGAAGCAGGAGGAGGAAGTGGAACGTGGCATGCTGTCCAGCGCGGTTCTGCAGGGTATTCCTGAAGGTGCGAACACCTCCATCATGTGCAACACTGACCCCACCTCTCCTCCTCTATCCCTCCTTACCGCCCTGCCTGCACAGCTTGTGATATGTCTGCAATCATCAAAACACGCACACACACACACACCTGAGCCCTGCGTCCCCTGCCCTCACCTCTTCGTATACACATGCGTCTGCAATGCTGCTTGCGCTGCAGTGAGTCTTGGCATTGATGAGAAGATCAAGAACATTGAGGAAACGGAGAGAGCGAAGGCCTCCATCCATCGCTCCAGATCAGACAAATTGTATGCCCTTCACCTGTGCACTGTGTGTGTGTGTGTGTGCCGATGCGGTATTGTGGCACGGTTGCTGCCAACACATGCAGTTATACATCTGACGCGTGTGTGTATGCGTGTGCCAATCTTTAGTACGAAGGTGCTCGGGCTGAGAAAGGTCGACTCAACGCTCAACTACGCAAACGCGCGATGTAAGCATGTGTAAGAGTGTACATGTGTGCATCAACGCCTTCATTTACACAGTCGCACACGTGCAACCACACTCACACACGCACACACGCACGCACGCACGCACGCACACACGCCACGCTCACATACAATCTTCCCCCACCCTACCTCCCTTCCCCCCCCCCCTGGTTCTGTCATGTCGCTGCTGCAGTTGACGCAATGGGTGCGCGGCGGCGTCAGGAGGATGCAGGGGAGCTGTTTGACCGGGCGCAACAGCAAGCGTTTGACCAAGGTATCACGGAGTCACTCGCCGTCAAGCCCGAACGCGAGCAAGAGGCAGCACGCAGGAGACAGCGCAGGTCCGTGTCCTCAACTTGGCAGACGTGTATGTGTGTGTGTCTGTGTGTCTGTGTGTCTGTGTCCGTGTGTGCGTGTCTCTGCCTGTGTCTCTGTGTCTCTGGGTGCTTCTTCTCGAGATTGCTGTCATCATCCGAGCCACACCATAGCTCAACACTGCACCCTCCCCCTCCCCCCAACCTACCACCACCACGATTCAACAGGGACGATGGCCTGTCGTCGGATGATCGCGCGTTCAATGCGTACAGACGCAGATTCAAGCGATACTGAACCCCTTGCGCTCGCACAGGTGCCAATGTGTGTGTGTGTGTGTGTGTGTGTGTGTGTGTGTGTCTGTCTGAGTCGGTGTAAACAAACATGTATGCACTTATCAGTGCTTATGTATACATTCTACAGCGCTGGACAAGTAGGCATCAGTAACCATCGCCCCGAGATCTCTCTAACAAAAAATATGAGGGATATAAACATATACATCTAACACTCCAAAGTGGTGCAACCGCATGAAAGTCTCGACA